TCTCAGGAGCGACAGCTCGTTCAACTTCTTTCTGTTCTTTTTCATCTTCTTCGTCCAGGACATTCTGTATGTGCTGCAGGCCATCGGCATCCCAGGCTCGGGATTCAGGTAGAGGCCGGGGCCGGGCCCTTGGGGTTGCCCGGTGCTAGGCTCAGGGGAGCTGGCTCTCCTTTCTCTGGCCTGGCCCTGTGTTGCTTATGCAGAGGCCCAGCTGTGCCGGCTGGCCCGTCCCAGCAGGAGTGGGTGTTGGGCAAGGTTGCTGGGTGCTCCTGTCATGATGGGGAGGGGGCTGGGAGTCTGTGCATGTGGGCAGCCCTCTCTCTCTCATTGCAGTGGCTGGATAGCAAGTCTAACGGTGCTGAGGAAAAACCAGGCTGCTGCTGTGATCATGATCCTGGTGGCCGTGTTCTTCACGGTGGTGGCCGTGCTGGGGATCATCATGCTGAAGAGGGTGAGTACTGAGTGGGGCCTCGGCCAGTGCTTTCCTGTCCCTGTGGTGCAGAGAGCTGGCTTTGAGCACATGCTGGAGCCCTCTGGGCTCTGCAGGGCCCTGCTGAGCCTGCCCTGGTTCTGGGGTATCGCACTCTAGCTAGGGTGCCCCCTCTCCTCCGCTGTGTGGCCTGCTCAGAGTGCGTTGTAGTGCTGGGGTCCCAGTTTGGGTGCTGGGCCAAAGTACAGCACCCCTTAACCCTGGGCTTCTCTTCTAGATCCACTCCTTGTACCGCCGGACGGGTGCCAGCTTCCAGAAGGCACAGGAGGAGTTTGCCGCAGGCGTCTTCTCAAACCCGGCGGTGCGCACGGCAGCCGCCAATGCCGCGACGGGGGCAGCGGGCAGTGCCTTCCGGGCGCAGTAGGGGCAGGCCACGCCCCGGCCCCATCACTCTCACATGGGCTATTTTTAAAGAAAAGGAAACCAAGTTGCACTTCCATTGGGTCCCTTTGTGTCTGCCTCGGCCAATCAGAGGCTGCCTCATCCCAGCTTGGAAGCACGGATGCCCAAATACTCTGCTGCTCTAACCACCTCCCTCACGGATGGGGGCTGCTCGTGTTTGTGCCACCCCTGTGGACAGAGGCTGTGGGGGAAGATGGGGTTTCCCTTGCGCTCAGGAAGGGGCTCTTTCCCATTTCCGTTCCCTCGGTGTCCAACACCAGCTGCTTGGGTGGGGTGGGAATTGTGCATGTTGCATTTCCTGGTCACAGCTGCACTGTTGGCCTGAGATCCCCAGACCCCTCCCAACCCATGGAATTGCTTCCTGCTTAACCCAGAGAGCCTGCTTTTCCTGTGCCGAGGGAGCTGACTTGTGACCTAACCTCCGCCTCCCCTCTGCCCATTCAGGGGGTAAGGCCATGAGGGTGGAGCTGGCTCTGGGCCAGGCAGAGGTGGAGGTTTCTCACTGTCCTGCCTTTGAAGTGGGACCTCATTATCTGTCAAGGATGCTCTTCCTCCCGGGGCTGCAGCTGCTGTGCCCTCCCCAGGGCTGGTTGGCTGTTGGCCCAGTGTGAGAGTGAGGTGAGAATGGGGAGCAGCTTTGGGGCTGCCACCTAGCATGTGCTGTGAAGGGTAACTTTGGTCCCAAGGAAATAACCTGGGCCTATGTCCCCTGCCCTGCAGCTGCCCACTCAGTGCTGTGGCTACAGCCTTTGGCCAGCACTTCCCTTGGGGCCCTATGGTGAACTCCTTCCTTGCACGATTAACCGGCGAGAGGCCTGAGCTGCTGCTCCGGGTGTTGGGGCTCCTTGTGCCTCTGCCTGCCCAGTAGTACCAGGGGGCTGAGCCAAGCCAGGGATCAAGGTTTACTCTGACCCTGGGGAAGTGGCAGAGCGGGCACCATAGCCCTGGCTTCCCTGTCCCCACTTGTGGGGGAGACACTAGGGACCTTGCGTACCCTGGCTGGGCTGATGTAGCAGCAGTGTTCTTCAGTGCCCCTGGAGGAGATCCTGCACCTAGCTTTCCCCAGGGATCCCAACATCTCTGCTCCATAGTGCCCAGTGCCCTACTCTACTGGCTCTGTTCTCTTGCGGCACCTGCGTAGTGCCTCCTACCTCCCTTCCTCCTCTTTCCTCCCCCCCCCCCCCCACTGCTGCAGGGGTCAGCTGGCTGGTAGCATTGGATCACAGGCTGCCCCGAGGAAGCCGAACAATGGAGAGGGAGGTGGGGGCAGAGCCCACAGCATGTTGGCTTGTGGCTGGGGCAGGCACAGCTCTCCATTCCCACCCTGGCAGCTGGGTTTTGTTGGCTTGAAACGGCTCTAATGTTCTGGCTGCTCCCTAGTGCCGTCTCTCCAGGCTCCGCTGCTAGCTAAAAGCCACTTAACTGCTGTAGTGGTGGCCACCTCCCTCCCATCCTGCCAGTGTGCTGGGGCAGCAAGCAAGGCTCTCCCTGGCTCCAGGGTGGAGGCATTGGCCCCTTTCCCTCAGGGGGAGGGGGTGAGTCCAGGACTGAAGGGGTCGGCCCCTTTCCCTAGGGTGGGGCTGGGTGCAGAATAGGTTGCACTGTTGGTTTGAATTCTTGCCTTGTCTGGGGCTGGCCGTTGTGGCAGAAGCAATGAACTTAATCTGCAGCCAGGCAGACTTAGGGAAATATGGTTCGTGTCTAATCAAACTGGAAGGGTGGTTGAGGTTGGGGAATCCCTATCACTGGAGTTTTTTAAGAACAGGTTGGACAAACGCCTGTCGTGGGATCTAGGTTTACGTGACCCTGCCTCGGGGAGGGGGGAGATGGATGGGACTTGCCCTCGAATGATGCCTTCCAGCACTACATTGGTGATTCCCTGCAGTGCAGCAGCCTGGCCTCAGCATTCCCTGGAGTTGTAACTCAGCCGCTGGCAGCTGTAGGAAGGGCAGGGATCTGTTTCCTTTTGCCTCCCTTCTGTCTCTGGAGGGGTGGGGCTGGGTGCCTAGGGCCCTGTGCTGTCAGGGGGTGCACGAGGCAGAGGGCGACTGCTGGCATGGAGACTTTCCACACTACAGGTCACAATTCACCTGCCCCAGAGCTGGGGTGGATTTTTTTTTTCCTGTGCCAAATGCAAAGTCAGCTTTGATTTTATTTAAGATAATAAAGTTTCACTCCTTGTTCTCCCGGGCTGTGTTTTGGCTGCATGTCCATCGTCCTCTCCTGGGAGCAGGGCAGCGGCTAGCTGGGGAGTCACCTGAGAGTATCCCCTGGGTAGAGGGTGGGGGAAGGGGGTGGAACCTAGAGGCTGGGGGTGAGGGGTGCTCTGGAAGCCCCATCCTGGACTCACTTTGGGAGGAGGGTGCACTGGGAAGGGGGACCCTATCTCCCTCTGCTGCACTCTTCCTTGGGGGAAGGCCTGTCCTATGTTACCCTCGCTGGGGGAGAGCACCTGCAGGCTCGGGGGCAGTGCATTGTCTGAACAGGCTTCCTGGCCATTGTGTGCCCCTGCTGCCCCTAAATGCTGGGTGTATTGCTCGGCGGGGTAGGAGCTGGGCTGCAATTGTGGTAGGAAAGCATTTCCATTAGGCCAGGAGGCCCAGGGGAGCTGCTGGGGTTATGGCTGCAAGTGGGGGAGGGAGGGTTTAATGGCAAAAGCAGCAGATGCTCTCACAGCTCCTTCCTTTCCCTGTCGACCCAGCCCCCCTCAGCCTGAAATTCACTCCCCAGCCCTAGCATCTGTCTCCCTCTCCCCGAGAGCCCAGCTGCAGCGGTTCCTCCACCTGCCGGGGCAGCTCCAGTTGTGTGGGGGGGGGCAAGCTGAGTCACCGTGGGCCCAGCCTGGGTGGAGGAGAGGAGTGGGCACAGCTGGTGCGGGTCCCCCTCCCAGCCCGGGGGTAGGTACTGGGCACAGCTGGAGCGGGGCCCCCCTCCCAGCCTGGCGGCGCTCTCATTGGCCAGGGCAGCCTGATGCTCACGTGGTCGCTCCCTGGCCTGGGCTGGGCCCCAGCCGGGTCATGTGGCTCACATCTGGGCGCCGCTGGCGCTCCCGGCCCCGCCCTCCCCGAGACTACAACTCCCAAGGTGCAGCGCGAAGGGGCGTGTCCCCTCGCCCCGCCCTTCCCCGCAGCATCAGCACCAGGCTGAGCATCCCGGAGAGATGCAAGTCGGAGGCAGCGCCGGAGCTGCCCTGCGGCGGAGACTCCCCGACTCCTCCCTCGGCCGGCTCCTGCTGCAGCTCGGGGCGAGGCGCAGAAGCGGGTTCCAGCCCCCTCCGCTCCCCGCAGCCTTGCAACTTCCCTGGGGCCCGGCTGGGGAGAGCGGGAGCCCCGCGCCCCCTGCACCAGCCCCGCCTGGCGTCGCAGAGCCCGGGACCCCAGCGCTAGAGCCCTCGCGTCACTGCAGCTTCGGGGGCGCTCAGGGCTCGCTTCTCGGGGGCCTGTCTTGGAGCTGCCCTGGGCAAAGGCTGCAGTGCAGAGCCGTTCCCCCGTTCTGCTGCCAGCACCGGGCACCAGCACCTGGACTGGTCCGTACCCAGACTGCTGCTCCCTCCCTCTTCGGAACAAGCTGCTCCGTGGACTTTGGGTGGATTCTGCCTGTTCATTAATCTTCTAGGAGTTTTGTCTGCCTGACGCCTGAGCATCCTGCCTGCCGGAGATGGGTTAATAGGGGAATCGCCGTGGGGGCAGTGGCCTGTCCCTCCCTCCGAACCACCCGGGACTAGGAGCAACGTGTGGCTGGCAGGAGGCAGCAGCTGCTGGGTGCAGGAGTCTCGAACCCCACAGTCAGCTGCGCCCCACACTTTTATGGATAACATTGAATTGACTCCATGCTCCGCTCTGCCTGGCAGGATTCCTGCTTGCTGGGCATCCCCTCCTCCCCCACCTTTTGTTTGGCTGCTGCAGAGGTGTCAACATAAGGGTGTTTGGGGATTGAAACCCCATCACAGCATTCAAGTGAAGTGAACCCAGCTCCGTCCCTAGGCCTGAGGGAGTGGGGATGGTAGCAGGGCAAGTCCCTGCTAAGCAAGGCTGCCTGGTGAGCATGGAGCTGGTCCATTTTTAGCTTGTTCTAGGTAGCAGAAGCTGGGGAAAGGTCTCTGGAGCTGGGAGCGTGTGAATGCTGCCTGAGAACCCCTCACTGGGAGAGAGGCGAACTGCTCTCTCCTCACCCAGTGCTCCCCAGCTGGTCTGTGACCCTCACTCCAAACTCCCTGGGGAGAGAGCTGGATTTGAGGATGCTCCTAAACCCAATGGGGAAGGTGGATGAGACACGTCTATCCCATCGAGCCTGTCTGCTCCCCCTTTCCAGTGTCTCCTCTGGTTTCAGAGGCCTGGCCTAGCGAGGGCAGCTGCCATCACGTCTCAGCGTCTTTATGGAGCAAAACAGTCACCTGCAGATCTGACCCTGGTGCCGCCAGTCTCAGCTCCATGTAGTCCTTGGAGCTGCTTTCAGGGATGGCAGAAAACAGTAGGACACCCAGCTCCTGGGAAGATGTTCTGTGTCAGGTGAGGAGTATTGAGCCGGATGTTCCCCGCAGGGCAGGAGGCTGAGACAGAGGGATCCCAGGGCAGCTTGTTCTGTGACTGAGAAGAGTTGGATCCAGACTGGCTTTGCCAAAGTGCTTGAGGCTGGTACAGCAAACCCCAAAGTCAGAAAGCAGGGTCCCTAATCCCGCTTGATCCACAATCCCCACTCCCAGCCCCAGGTGGATGGGGCAGCACGTGGCCAGCTCCGAGCAGTAGGGACAGAGAGAACAGAACAAAAACTGCACAGATATCAGCCAGAAAAGGAAGCGTCACTTGGTCTGGTCCTGGCTGCTCTTCTGGGCAGGCCAGCCAGCCCCACGTCCTGACTGTTGCTCCCTTTGGCATCAGTTCCGTTAACTGCACCAGGCTTCCCACGCACTACCTGGGCCAGAACTCCGTCTTTTCCTGATCTGGAAACGAGTCATGCCATCTCCCAGCGACTCCAGCCATTCCCTGACTGGCCGCTCCTCCCGCAGCCTCACCCATCTCCGAGTGCAGAGGACCTGGCTGCAGATCCTGCTGGTGCTGGGCTTCATTCAGGTCATCCTGGGCATCCTCGTCATCACCTTCAGCCTTGTGGCAGCTACCATCACGCCTTCCACCAAGGTCCGGCACTCCTGCCCCTCCTGGGCCGGCTTCTTGGTGAGTCTCCTGGTTCTCACAGACAAGGAGCTGCCATCTCCAGGGAATCTGGGAAGTCCCCAAGCAGCTCAAAGGTGCTGGCCCAGGCCTTGGGTGGCCAATTGTGTGTGCTGCTGGCCTTTCCGGGGGCTGGTTGGGGAGTCAGGTGGGAGACAGCTGCTGTGTGGCTGGGGGAGAGTGTCGGGGGGGACACGACTCCTCCCCTCTAGCTTTTGTTGGCTAGGAGAGTTTCCAGAATAATTCTCAGCAATGCATTCTTCTCCCCCCCCACCTCGAAATTCCCCTGAACTGGCTTCCCGTTGTACTTTCTCCAGGCCAGCTCGCTGCCCTCATGGAGCTACTCCTACTTCCCCATTTCCTGGGCCATCAGCCCTAGCCCTCCCTCGCCCAGGGAGAGGGTGTGCCACAGCCCTTAATGCCCCCTTACAACCCCAGGGGTTCAGGATGGTCCCTGGTTTACGAATGGGGCTGCAGGCCTACAGGAGCTGGGAGAGGCCCTTGGCAGCTCCTGGATCCCTCCCCTGTGTTCCAGACACTTGACGCCCCCTCCCCCAGCTCACCTTGGACCCACCCCTCCTGGCTGCTCCAGCAGCACAGACCTCTGCTGGGGATGCCTGGCCATGGTCCTGCTGTCCAGCTCAGAGCTGCCTGCAGGCCCTGGGCTCTCCAGAGTGCCCTGAATCAGCACTTTCCTCAAGCTCTCAGCTCCCTTGGCCTCTGGCTCCTGCCTGTTGGCCGGCCTTGCTGCCGCCACCCGGGATGGGCCCTAATCCCTGTGGGACCAGCTCTGGGGGCTGCAGGGCTCGGAGGAGGGTTTGTGGCCTGTGGGGGTCTCAGGCCTCCTGCCCCTCCTCTCTCCTTCCCACTGTAATTCCTGTTCTTCTGTCCTCCCAGCTGGCGCTGTCCGGGCTCGTTGGCATCGTCTCCTGGAAACGGCCCTTCACCCTGGTGGTAGGTGTCTTCTGCATGTGGACTGTGGGTGTCCTCACGGACCCAGGCCAGGGCTGGGCCCGGCCCCTCACCCAGCTTCTGTCTTGGGGCACCACGGTCACCTGCTTCTCCTCTGCCCTGCACCAGGACGGGGAGGGCAGAGCGAAAAGGCAATCCCCTGCTCACGCATGCGTGTATCACGTGTGCTGTCTTCTAACACGCATGCTGGCCTGTTGCCTCTCACTCCCCTGACATGCCTGCCCAGCTCATGACCTCTGTCTGTCCTGGCTGCAGATCACCTTCTTCACGCTGCTCTCCGTGCTGGGCGTCATGCTGAGCCTCGCCGGCTCCATCCTCTCCTGCCAGAACGCTCAGCTGGTGAAGTCCTTGGAGGCCTGCACCAGGGTAAGGCCTGACCCAGCCCAGCCCTTCGAGGGACTCTGCCTCCTGGGGCTGGATGACAGCCCCTTTGGGAAGTGGGCACACCTGGGGGAGGTTGCAGATCAATGCCTGTGGCCGAGCGGAGTGGGCTTAGCCTCGGGCCTCAGGCAGGGCAATGGGTCCATGGGAGGGAGGGGCCGTATCCCAGCTGCACGAAGGAGGGCTAGGCTGGGACAGTTCTTGGGGCTGGTTCTTGTGGAAGGGACCTGCTGGCTGGGCAGATGGTGCAGTGGCAGGATTCCTTGTGTCTGGCCCTGGGGACTCGGCCATTCCTTACTCTTAGGGTTGCCAACCCTCCAGGATTGTCCTGGAGCCTCCAGGAATGAAAGATTATGCCATGTGACAAAACCTCCAGTAATACATCCAACCAAAATTGGCAACCCTACTCACTCTGGGTCTCTTCTCCCTCCAGGAGAAGGACTCCTGTGTCTGCTGCCAGGCCCGCTCTGAGTATTCGTCCATGGGCCCCGCCTGCAGCAGGCAGGGCGAGACACTGACCATGTTCCCCAACCCTGACTGCCGGAGCGTCCGCATGGCTCTGAAGGTAACCGGGTGGGCTGCCCGGGGCAGGTGGGGAGGCTTGCAGTCTGCAGGGGTTCTCTGTGCGGGAGACGGGGGGCTTTGGAGCCCAATCGGGGCTC